GGGATCAATACTACTGGAAGTTATTCACGTTAAAGGATCAGTAATTCTCTAATATTCTCTAATATTGATTTACAAATTGGAACATCAGAAGGGAAGTAAGCGTCTATCTTTTATATTGTCTTTTATTAGTTCACATTTTTACGATAGTAACTTTTAGGGACAGAATTCTTCCTCTAATCCAGTTTCTCTGTTACGAACGTTTTTGTGAAAAAAAAATGGAATAGTGCATGATTTTAAGTATCAGAACTAACTAGAGCGTTCATTGTTTCAGCTAATGGAATAAGATAGAGCACAGTACAATGAGGAACACTGTTATATCTGATTTGTGAGTTCCGAAATGCAATTAAGTTTTTTAGTGTACTATCACTAAGAGTGTAGCTGCTTTCATGTGAGTGATTAATGGAGACCTCCAACGCAGCGAACATATTAATAATACAAAGACGGAAGGTATGAAGAACGGAGCCTGGACAAAGCCATACTGACCTTAGACATTTACTGACGCTTCTTGCTGTGCACGGCGTCCTCCAAAAGATTTCCCAGTCGAAGGGCTAACTCTCACATACGAAAACTGTTGCTGTGTGCTCTGTAATTTAGGATGTGCGAGGCTGCATTACTGCCCCGAATATGAAGAAGAGACCCAATGCATATTTTGCGCGAGTCAATATTTCATTATTAATGGAGACCTATGGGAAATCATTTTATCGGCATTGAAAAACGACAATCATGTTCTCTTTGCCACTTATGCCGCTTGGTTGTATTAGGAGTGTCTGATAGGTCTACAACGGTGGAAGTTTGGAAGACACTTGTCCCACAGCATTTACTCTTTGCTTTTTCCCCTTATATTATAATTCTGGAGATATTGATTTATGTGTGTTTATACAAGAATCATTTTATGAACAATTTCAAATACCGTATTTACGCATGTATAGGCCGCGTGCGTGTATAGGCCGCAGCACAATTTTCAGACAGAAATTATAGAAAAAATAATTTTCTTGGAATATTATTTCAGGAGTATTACACCCTGTATTACTAATTATGAATATAATTTTTTTAAATGAAGTGTGATTTAGAATATTTCGAATATAAGCCGCACCCCAGTTTTCATCTTGAATTTTTGGCAAAAAATGTGCGGCCTATACATGCGTAAATACGGTATTTGGAATCCTTATATGTATGAACGGGAATAACTGAATAAAGTGAAGTGCGGATGACAGCGGTTCGAGTCCCAGTAGGTACAGCGATTCTTTTATTTGACATCACCTTCTGACCAGCTTCTCCCTTGCAGAAATTTAAAAGTAAGGCTACTAGAGAATGAAACTGTCCACCCATATCAGTTAAGTACTTAAAGAGCGTACAGGTTTACCTTCACCTTCCTACACATGTTTGTGAGCAGAACGTAAGCACGTGAAGGCGTATTATCAAAACTAAACATCAGTTCTGAAGTGTAGTGACTATTCTCTTATTCAGTATAGTGAAGGTCATGAATTCTATTCACAGTAGAATAGACAATTCTTGGTTTCCTACTTTCATTCAAGCAAACAGTGGGGTATTGCCTTATCATTTACGGTGTCCGGAAAAAAAGGTAACCAAAATAAAATCATTATATCTCAGAAAGAATTTCTTATACACATTAATGCGTTACACCATTACAAAGGGGACCATCAAAGTTTTTTCTGCATATATAACTTTCTCAATAAATTTAAATGTGGGTTCCCTTGGTGGCACGACAAATATCCATACTTGAAGCATGTTCAGTGTTACCGTAGCCACAGCGTCCCTTATGCGGGCTTTCAGGTGTTGAAGGTCGTTGATCCTAACCTGGCAGACAATGTTCTTCACATAACCCCACAAGAAAAATCGGCTGTGGTTAGACCTGACGACCCAGGAGGCCAAGCGATTGGTCCACCTCTGCCAATTCACATCCCAGCTATCTCCTGTCCGGGTGATTCCTAACATGGTGGCAAAAATATGGCGGCGTATGCGCGTAAGCCGGATTTGAAAAAGAATTCAGAGTTTTCTTTTCCGATGACATAAACCGGATACGTGTATGACAATCAGTTTGCGAGATACACATTTCTTTTTATTTTGGATACTGTTCATTCGGACATTCTGTAGATCACAACTGCTTCGGTCCGTATCGTCTCTAATTCTTGTTTCTTAATCACATTTGTGCTCGACGCTGTATTGCTTATGCAGTTAAAGATGTGTTGCTAAATAAACTAGCAGGAATCATAAATATAAAAAATACATAGAAAGAACAGAGTATGTAGCCTCTAATGACCCAGCATGAAGCAAACACTTGGAAATATTAACATGCCAGGGTTCATAGAGTTAAGACATTCTTTCTAATAGACTGGTTAATAACTGCACCTTATTGATGCAGAAACTGTGGCAAATATAATGTGGCTTGAGCATATGTTTCCATTTTCTTTAACACTTTGACTTGGCAATGACCCTAATATATATTAAATATACTACTCTAAAACAATTCGAACAATTCTTTCTTACTTAATTAATAATATAATTTTGAAAATTATTTCTTCGTCATGAAGCAAGATACTGAAGATATATATATATATATTCTGTGATAAATTCCGCATAGTCTGTTGAAAATCAACCGACGTTTCGGAGAAAACTTCGTCTGAAATATCAGCTAACTTCCAATATCGATCCCAGAAGAGAGAACTCTGCACAACCACGCTTGTGAGAACTTCGAAAATATTGGTCCTAGATCAGGAAGGAGTCGTCACCCGTCTGAATGCAGTCTGCAGCCACCTGCACATGTTGGTTACTCGCGCGGCGATTTTTCTACGCTGAAGATGGAGGCGTAAGTTCCTCCGAAACGTCGGTTCACACAAGATCTAGACGGCTCCTCATCTCAGAAGACGGCACTCTTCAGAGTCACCGCCGTGAAAACCTCAAATCTTACACAAAATTTATTTTTGGTGATATAATAAGAAGAAATGTATCATTAGATGTTACGACATGAACGAATGGATTACTAACATCCTGGTATGTTGCGTAAGACATCCTCATTGTCATCAGTGCCTTCTCACACAAAGTAACTTCATAGCGGAGAAATTTTTCATTTCAACTTAAGAGAAATCATTCGCAGTCGATAATATTAATGGCTGTTGTTTAGAAAGAGTTTTTACCCTTTTCGCGAAGGTATCTACGGCAAAGACAATTTGGACCTGTCTCAAGTTAAGTTCAACTAGTCTGCAGGACTGCAGCTTGCAAGGGCTGATCCCCTCCCCATCTCCAGAGGTAACACAATTGGATTTTGAATGACTGGAACCACACATGTGGAAGTCAGCATTTGGCCATGCCGCAAGAACGTTTGAACAATGAAATCCCTCAGCATCACCCATTCATTCTACTCGGGAGAACCGTGTAGGGAGATCTGTAAGTTTGGAAAAGACTGACCATAATATTGAAGAATGCTGAAAATCTATTGAGCGTATGCATCGTGTGAAAGATGTTTCCTTTTGGTAGTGCTTTGAGCAGAGCCCCCATTCGTATGTCAGTCTCTCTGCCTCTAGGTGAAAGCCATAATATAGACTCTCTATTATCCATCTCTACATTGCGGACTACATAGCTCCATGATTCTACATCTTCAGTTCACTGTAGTTGAACTAAAACTCTTAGCTACATACGCGAATTTTGTGGATTAAGTGACGCCTTCAGCGGCTGGTTTTGTATTGATAAATATGCAATATGATAAATGATGGAACTCACAACGGAATTGTATTAAGCTTCATTCACATTGTAGGATTTGAGGTTCTCATAGAGGTCGCTCGCATCTTCTTGGGTGTATGGGATTGCAGTCCGTTGAAAGTCAGTCGACGTTTCGGAGAAATATATCGCCCCATCCTGAGGGTTTAAGTGTAAGTCGAGCAAGAAACTAGCAAGTACAATTCTATGTGCTGCTTGTTTCATGTCCATTTCTTGCTTGGCTTAATCTACAACCCTGAAAACGGAAGTAACAAATTCCTCTGAAGCGTCAGTTGACTTTCAGCGTAATATAAGACATTAGGTCACAGAAGGTGGAATTCTCCTAGATTTGGATCCAATATCATAATGCCAATAATGCAGAAATGATTTTCTCATGAAAACTGAAGTTGTGCAGTATACATGGAAGACTTAAAACTGTTTAAGAATAAAGTAAGTAAAGTAAGTAAAGCTATCCCTGTAACAGACCGTGGAGGCCCATAGGGTTGTGAGATGTTGAGGTTTCCACATTTTCTAGACAATCGGCTCATAGATGGCAGCAAGGTTGTCAGATCTACGCGGCGGCCGCCCTTTACCCCGAAGAATATTCCAAGAATATTCCTGGTACTCATTTCTGTTAGAGGCTGAGTCGACCCTAGGACCATAGTGCGGCTGGAAGAATTAGGTCAATTGAAAAAAAAACTTCAATGACCTCATCGGGACTTGAGCCCGCAACCTTCCAGCTTGTAGCATAGTGCCTCAACCAACTATGATATCGCGTGCCCCCAATAAGAATAGTGCATTTATATAATTTTCATAACATCATTAGTGAAATTAGTAACAGAAGTTTCTTCACAGATTCTAGTGTTACACTTCCGTGGGGCCTAACATAACGTATTTCTAACAAGTCAGGCTACACCGTAAGGCATGCAGTCATCAGTATCGAAATGAAAAAGAAGTAATAAAAAGTCAGTATCAGCGAACGGCTTTTACCAAATTCTGACTTTCGAAAAATTATTAAGGAAGAAACTCGTTTGAATTGGAAAAGAAATAGGCTGTCACAGTTTCAAAAACCGCTCCGGTAATTTTGTTATTTTTTATATGTACGTGTAAAACTTTCAAAATATAATTCTCTGAGTAAATGCATGGACTAGAGTACTTTTTGAGAAGTTGATAACCATTCTTGGAACCCAAAATTATTCACAAGAATTCGACACAGGATCCTACATTGAGGCAGTTGACACAGTTCACACCCTCACATCCATTTATTTAAAATCCACTTTACTCACCTCCAATTTAGTTAAGATCCACTTTAATATGAGCATCTGACCCACACCAGATTACGCTTATTGCGTCATTTCTTCACAACTCGGTCTGAAAAAGGAAGAACGCAACATTTCCGTTAAACCGACCAGCAGTCGGTCTCTTGTGTGCAGCCTACTGACGTTCTAGCTGAATAAAATTTCACGAATTCAGATCCTGAAAGCTCAAATTTACTTATTGAACGTAGATCATAACTTATTCCATCATCTAATCCATGCCATATACTTTAAAGTAACATATGCAGTATTTGTATAATATGGGTGAAGTCAGTTACTTAACGTAAGGCAATTTGTTACTTTAACTGTACATTTTAAGAAATCTGTCATAAATATTTATAACTGTATCAATGAATTTGAGATTTTATCCCGAATACAGAATGTCTGCTACATGACTTCAACCGTCAAAATTTCCTTTCAGGGATTTAAGTACTCTACTTTATAATCTGATTGAATTCAAATATCCTTACTTTGTACACTCAGTTAGCTCTTCTTTACATAACTGAACTTACTTCATGGCGCTAAGTTCTTCTTGAGAAGCCACCAGTCGCTCAGCTACTCAAAAATTTTCCAGAATTTTACTGCACACGAAGGTTTGTTTTGTGTTCACAAAAGCCCTCCATCTGTCCCTATTCTGAGTCAGATCAATCCAGCCTATACCACTCCATTCTATCTCTCTAAGACCAATTTTTAATATTATTCTCCCACCTGCTTCTAGGTCTTCCCAGTGGCCGCTTTCCTGCTGGATTTCTTAGCCAAATCCTGTGTACATTCCTCCTCTACCCCATATGTGCTACATGCCCTATCCATCTCATCCTCAATGACTTGATTATTCTAACAATATCTGGTGACGATTAAACGCTATTAAGCTCTTCGTTATGTAGCTTTCCTTTTACATAACTCTTCTATTACAAATATCTGTCGCATTACAGACTCTATGGGCGTAACATTAAATTTATAAGAATTAGCCTTTGGAGATACTGCCTTAATCTTGAAAGTCACGTGTTAGCATTTTCGTGCATGATATCGTGTTCGTAACACTGAGGTAAACATATGTAAAGCAAAAGTGGACTAGCTAGATGAAGTGAGGGAACGATGAAACGTTTAACCAGCATAACAATCCATTTAAGAACCAGATAGTACAATCAGTTAAACAAGCTTCGAATTATGCAGTTCTACTAGTTCCAACTTCCATCAGTTTCTACCGCTACATAGCCGTTGGTGAGATGACGTTACAAATCGAGCATGGAACCCGTCTCCTTTCCTCCGTTTTGACTGATACAGAGAAATGCATGTGTTACGTCTTTCTGGCGCTAATCTCAACATCTCCAAGTTCTATATGAGATCTCAAGTTGGCACCAAGTTGATAGATTCAACGATTCTTTCTGTTTCTTGACTGTGGTAGCGTTGAGTATTCCTGACACTTGAAGATTTGTTTTCTGCCCACAGTGACACACTTGCAGAAGGTAAAACCACTGCAAAGAGTTCATTGTAGGCTCGGTGTGCAAGTATCTCTGGGTTAAAATAGCTAACACTAGCTCATCTAGCCAAGAATTCCATTACTTGTTATGGAACACGTTTGTTTGTTGATGTGTTCACAAGAGTTCGCCTGTGAACTCTATCCTGATCGTGAAATTTTCATACCTATTTCCTTAAGACGTTATTATGTGATTAAATTCGCAGGGCACTGTTACTCCTGATGCCAGCCTAGGAAGCAACCGCTTCTATGAACACAATAACATGATTGTTAAGTGTACAAACGTAACGTGTAAGATTATCGTCACAACAACAACAACAACAACAACAACAACAACAATAATAATAATAATAATAATAATAATAATAACAGTGGCCGTGCGGTGTCTAACGCATGAACTGTCTTCGCCCGCTCAAACTCTGGGATCATGGGTTCGAATCCCACTCGAGGCATGGATGTCTGTGTGCGTTTATTCTGTTTTTATTGTCCTGTGTGCAGGTAGCGGCCTTTCGACGGGCTGATCACTAGTCTAAGAAGTCCTACCGACTGTGTACAAGATCAAGAAACTGAAAAAGCGCCCAAGGCCCAACAAAAGGGCTGTGAAGTCATAGATAGACTATTTAGCCCTAAATGAATATCTTACTCTCTAATAATATTGATCAGATATCCAAAACTGTAGGCAGTAAAACGAATCGCTAAATTCCGATCCACCTGAAGCCATTTCGCTCATTTACATTGTTTTTTTTTTCCAAGTCAAGTTTCAAAAATTTATCCTCAGATCTCCTTCTGGAACTTCCAAGACGAAATCTTCAGAAGGATTTCCCCACTGTGTCTCTATACACTTAACATTCAGTATCCATGCCCCATCCACTGTCGCCGCTTCTGTCTGTCAAGATCACAACACAAGGTGAAGGTCGCGAAACTCTGTTAATGTGTTGTACTTTCTGTATTCAGCAGTTAAAGCCTAGCAATGTAAAGTTCGTCCCCAGTATCTTGGATTGTTTCATTTCGGAAGAAAGACACTTAACGAGAAACCTTGGAGGAGAAAATATTAAAATAAATCTTAAAGATATAAGGTTTCAGTATTCAGTCTAAATTAATTTGGTTCAGTATAGGGTCCAATTGTGAGACGGGATAGCGTAGTCAGTACAGAGACTAGCTACGGGTTGGACGACCAAGAGGTTGGAGGTCGACTCCCGGTAGGGTCAGGAATTTTTTTTTTCTCCACGTCGTCCAGGTTGGCTCTGGGATCCACCCAACCTCCTATCCAGTGGGCACTGGGGTTAAAGCGGCTGGGCCGTGAAGTTGACCACTCACCTCCAACTAGTGCCGAGGTCAAGAAAATGTGGATCTATACATCTACTCCTTCATACACCTTCATGGTTTAGTGCTTAAGTAGTTAAACATAGGAACAATTTTTCGTTTTTATAGGGTCCAATGACTGGTTGTTTTGAACATGGCAACAAGGTATTGGATTCCACAGATGATAGTGAATGTTTTGACGAAGTGAGCGACTGTGATTCCTGAAGAAGGACTCTGCTGTCTGGAGTAAATTAATAATAAATTCAGTACCAAATATTAGTAAAATATCGAAGCGAGGTATTTATAATTTACTTTGATACAGAATCCTAAGTCATACGCGTGTCTTTCGAACATACAAACTATACAAAAACACTGTTTACATTCTTTTGTAATGTCATTTCATCCTCCAGTCTGCTCTTAAAAGTCTGAATTGTTAATTTAATGCACCTGTTCTTGGAAAGCTGTCCTTGGAAAGCTGTCTCTCTGAAACCTGATTTGGTTGTCCACTTTGTTTTCCTGATATTACAACATTCCATTTCTGTGAGATGGGAAACCACACAGCCCCTCGATATGGACTCCTAGTCTAACTGCCTGTCATCCGTGAGCACAGAGCTACAGCTCACGGTGAGACAAATGAGTACTAGAGTGGTAACAACATGCAGCGTTACCAGAGATGTTAGATAAGGCAGCAGTACTACCAGTAAACAGTACTGTACTTCATACACAACACGAAACATGCACCGTACCAGTTTCGATTGTGTCCTCCCCTGTGTAACACGATGTTATACTATTATGTAACTAAAAGTTGGGGAACACTGTGTTGTACCGTGTTGCTGGCGCCGTCCGGCGTGAGTGAATATGATTGTGGTTCACCATTCAGGAAAGCATTCTCTGAGCAATAGGAAACAATAGTTTCCTTTCAATGTCAAATTCAGTAACCGAAGTTTCGAACACTGGTAATTAAATGCAAGACAGGAACGTACAATCGAATTACGTCATGAGCATATGAACACTTAAATTATTATGAATAGTTTTCTAACATACTCGTATATATATATATACACACTTATGTATATACTGTCACGTGTATTAGTAACTTGTAGAAGGGGGTATGGATTGGTGAATCGATTTATTGGATATTCACAAGTCGTAAGTACAAGAAATTATAACACTCTGAAGGTTACTGTAATTATATCACATAAATATCTTCAACGTCTTCTTACACTAGTCGTTGCTAGGTAACGGATCGCTAGGCTTTTACAATGTCTTCATTATCCGCTTCCTGGCAAGATTTTAACACAGAAGCTATCACTTCGAATCACTAGGAAGTCGTCTTGCCATTTCTTGTTAAACACCTTGGAATGCCGACCCTCCAGAATTCGACCCAGTCCTTCAATCTAACCTAGTCAAAAGTCAAAATCAAACTCACATTGCAACTGACGGTCAATCAGTCAGTAAATCTTGGTGTCGGACCCATCTGGGGCTCATGACCAGATATTTTTTCTCTTTGATAGTTATGGCCTTGTTTTTTTGGGGCGCCTTCTCTGACGAGAGGACGGGTCTGTCTATTTTACGTGTATATGCTGCTGACCCTTGACAGCGCAGTCTTTCTTGGGTACAAGTCCCTTGGGACTCGCGACGCTCGCGACTATATTTTGCTATCTCAAATTTGAGACTGTAAATGACCCTCGTTATATATAGTCGCGGCACGGGTCACGTAGAAAAACCTCTTATATTATTGCCTAGCAAGAAGTCTCGACGAGTACTGTTATAGCAATGGACTCCCTATTTGCTGCAATGCAACCATAGGGGAATGTGTTTCGTTGGTTCATACAAGATCTCCAAGGCACTATATCTCAGGAGACGGCATTCTTCTTGTAATACGAGTATATCCCATGCAGGAAACAGTAAATTTCAAGAGTTGCTGATAGCAAAATTATCTTCCAAGAGCTGTTTTATTGTGAAGTAGCTTCGGAGAAAATTAATTTCACAATGTAAGACTGCCCCCCCCCCTCAAGTGCATAACTTTCCGTAAACGATTCACATTTATTGTTTATTTTTATGGACGAGTCGTTATGTAAAGCACACGGAGCACTTCCTTATTTTAGTCCAATCCAAAAGTCTTCTTGCTGAATAATTTTTTATTGCAATACCTTGTCTGTGTTATCACTTTAAAGTGTAGAAAGTTCCTGTTGCATTTTGTGTTATCATAAGAACCAATTTTACCCTTCGAGACTGCGTCTTTT